CCCGGACAATACCGCGGCGCGCAGCGATGCCCGCGCCGGTGCCGCCCCCGCTCCGCGCAGCCCCGGCCGCCAGGCCTTAGCCGCCGGCGCCGCGACCCACGGACCTCGGCGACATGGAGTGAGTGGCGCGCGCGGGCTGCACCCCGGGACCCCACGCCCGCGGGGCGTCGCAATCGCGCAGGCGGCGGGGAGCGTCCGCTGCCGGCTGGGGAGGTGGGGGGACCCGCCCCGAGGCCTCGCTCGTACACCCTGCCCGAGAAGGGACTTCAGCGTCGCCCCCTCCACTGCCTGGGGGTGGCGGGCCTGGGACCCTGAAGACCCTTCCCCAGGTGGCCTCGCCGTAGCCCCGACCCAGCCCGAGCACGCCGCGCTGTGTGCCCTGGACGTGCACTCAGCCCGGCGCCCTGCCCTGCTCTCTCTTTGGGACCGCGGGGTACCGAGCCCCCTGCCCGAGCCCAGATCCAGCGGCCAGGTGCTGCCCGGCGTCGCCGCTGGCGGGAGGGGCTTCACGGGTGTCTGGTGGGTGCGCGGGGTTGGCATAGGCGGTGCCCATCGGCGAGCGTGGGGCTGAGCCCCTCCCGGAGGATCCCCAAGGAAGGGACCGAATGGGTGACAAATAGCGGGCTGGGGTCAGACCGTGTTCCTTGTCTTGCCCCGGCGACTTTGGGTGTGGTGGGGCCAGTGAGGGGCTCGGGCTGCAGAGGACTTTGGTATACAGAAGGTGCTCAGTGAGTCTGCGTGGTCATTCGGGGCGCAGGTCCCCTGCTGTCAGCGTGAGAGTGTCCCCCGCCCCAGCCCCCCGCCCGTCACTCCCACAGGTGGGTCCTAGAGGTCGTGGAGTGCTGTGAGGACCCGTGCGAGGTGGGCCCGGCTGTGCCTGCTCTGGGCCCTGTCCCCACCCCAGCCGGGCAGGACACTGGGGTCCGTTGCTCCGGCCTAACCTGACCTGGCCGCTACCCTGCTCTTCCCCCTGGCTGTGTTTTGCAAGCAGCAACTTTCCCGGGGGATTCGCAGTGACTCGCCACGCCCTGGGCTGGGTGGGAGCCCTCACCCCTCCCTGCCGCGGAAGGCGAGACACCCGGTGTCCTCTGCTTTTGAAAACCCAGACAAAGGCCGGGCCGCTCCCCACCCCACACCCCACCCGCCCGGGAGCCCAGCCAGGGGCTCAGGGGAGCCGGCAGGACTTGTAGGCTCAGTCCCTGTCTTTTTTCTCTGCTCTGTTGTCCCCGACCTCTGGGCCTCCTCAGAGCTGGGCCTGGGCAGGTGTGGGCGAGGGAAGGAGGCAAGAAAACTCCCACCCGGAGTGGCAGAGGAGGGGATTTGGTGTTTGGGCCCCTTTGTTCCCCTTTCTGCCACCCCTTTTTTCCCCCTGCGGATCCTAAGGCCTAGAGAGGGATAGCAGCTGCCCAGGGTCACACAGGGAGCGGAGAGTGCCCTGGGTACTTGGTCACCGGCCTCTGTGGCCTCGTGGTCCCTCACTGTGGGCCGGTTTTCTGGGTGCAGCCAGGGAACCTGTCATCCTGTTCCTGGGAATGGTGGCAGGGGACTCAGTGGTGCTGGCCCAGTTTGGCCCCCTGCCCCTCGCTCATGGGGCTGGATGGAGTGGGCTTCTGGGACAGAGCCAGGCAGGGGTGGTGGCAGCATGATCTCGCTTACCTCAGCCGGTTTCCATGGTGTGGGAGATGGCTGAGAAGTTTCAGAAACGCATTTGAGAATTTAAGGAAATTTAAATTTTGTTGAAGAGATGAATGTTGTTCATGAAAACTAGTGAGTAATGAAATGGCCAGGAGGATGCTCCAAAGGGTGGGGCCCGGGAGCTGGGGGGGTCTCTGCTCTAGGGTGTCCTGTGGCCCTGGATGCGCCCACGCTAGGGAGGGGGAGAAAAGCGTTAGTGCACAGGCCAGCTGCGTTAGGGTTAGGTTAATTAGGCTTTTGTTTGTTTTGTTCTGGCTGGTCTGGTAGATCCCCCTGCCTCAGCCGACTGGATATTGAGCTGACACGCGGAGGCCACCACGCCTAGTCAGCTCAGAGCTGGAAATTTTCAAAGGCAAAAAAAGTCCCAACTGGGTACTAACTGGGTCCTTCATGCCCTTTCACACTTGCTAATCTCTTTTTAATAAGAGGCTGAGCGGGTTAAAAGGCAACATTATCTAGTGATAATTGAATCTGATAGTGAGATTCTGTGTTCACTGTGAGCTGTTTTGTTCATGTTTCACTCTGATGTTTGTGGCCCGCAACTTCTGGTTTTCTCACTGTGAGTAACAATGTACTGTTCTCTGTTTTGTTTTGTTTTTAAAAAGAGGGGATTTGGTTTAAAAAGATTGTGAGTTTTAAAGGGAAGAATATGAGGTAGTGCTGGGTGACACGGGAAGTGTTTGTGTGCGGCCCCCCCATCATGGGTGTGAACCCGCTGGGTCCTTACCGGAGGAGGGAGAGGAAAGGTACAGAGAGGTTAGGAGACTTGCTCAGGGCCCAGCAGCTCAGGCGCGGATGGGGTTTGTGCCTCTGAACTGCCAGAGTGGGGTCAGGAAGGTTTCCTGTACTTTCCTGGGTCCATGGTGGCCATGGGCTAAGGGACCTGGGGGGACCGGGCATCCTGACAGCAGCTTTCCAGCCTGCTTAGTTTTTTTCTTTTTTCTTTTTCTTTTCAGTACTGGACATGGAACCCAGGGGCTTTGCACTGAGCTACATCTCCAGCCCTTTTTTATTGTTTATTTTGAGACAGGGTCTCCCTAAGTCACTAAATTGCCCAGGCTGGGTGGGAACTTACAGTCCTCCTGCCTCAGCCTCCCAAATGCAGGTATTACAAACATGTGCCACCACGCCTGGCTCTGGTTACACTACTGAGCCACATGGTGGTTTCCAGGGGGCTCTGGGTCCCTACCCTTCTGTGACTGTTGCCATGGAGGTCGCCCCCGCCTTGTCTCATTCTTCCTTCTGGCCTCACTTTTCTCACTTGTCAAAGGGGGACAAGATACCCCCAGCCCCCTCAGCGGGGACACAAGGCTTGGGGCTGGGCAGCTACAGGGTCTTATGCTATCCAGGAGGGCTGTTTCTGCCTCAGGCCCACAACCGCGTCCATCCTCAAGGGTCTCAGATTTTAAAACTGAAAAATGAGCCACATGTGCTGTTGTACACTTGTCATCCCAGCACACTAGGAGGTGGAGGCAGAAGGGTTGCAAGTTTGTACCTAACCTGGGCAATTCAGTGACTTAGGGAGACTCTGTCTCTCAAAAGTACAAAATAAAAAGAGGTTAAGAATGTAGCTCAGTGTGAAGACTGAGCTCATTCAATCCCCAGTACCACCAGAAAGAAAAGGAATTAATTAAAAATTAAAGGTGGAAAATGGGTTGATGTTCTGTTTATGCCCTTTCTTAGTCCAGGAAGTTGATCATCTGTTCATTCAGCAGACTCCTGCTCAGTGTCCCAGCGTCAGGCAGGGTGAAGGAGGTGGGAAGGTTTTCTGGTCCCTCCCACCATGGACCAGGGTGATCAAGGGTTTACCAGGCAGGCAGAAGGCTGCAGCTGGCAGAGACTCCAGCATGTGCAAAGGCCGGGGGCCATGGAAGCAATGAAGAGAGCATCCTTTGGATTGTGCTGTGGGGCTCTTGCTGGGCCGAGGAGCTGTAGATGATGCCTGAGCTGGCCAGGGCATGCTGGGGCTCAGGCTGGACAGGGGCTGCAGGGCATCTGCTGGAGCCGAAGGTGCAGGACCCTGTCCAGGTGGGCAGACACCCAGCACCAGAATTCTGAAGCTCAGAGCTGCCACAGGGCTGGGCAGCCTGCTCTGCTTAGGGAGCTGCAGTTCCCCGAGTACAGGGAGAGTGGGTGATGGGAAGTGGCACAGGGTCCTCCTGCCCTGGGAGGAGGCTACAGGGAGGTCCAGGGGTCTGAGGAGCTTAGAACTGGGCCAGCATGGCTGTCTCCTGCCTGGGGATTTCAGCTGAGGTTCTGGGACATTCACAGCCAGTCACCAGGGCAGAGCTTGCATCCAGCTGGACAGCAAGAGGGGAAACCAGAGCCAGGCCCCGCGGTGGGTGAGGACCTAGGTAGGATGGGCTGTGTGGACCAGTCACAGTGGGATGGTGGCAGCAAGAGCAGCAATGCGCAGCCTCGAGGGTCTGTGAGAGGCAGAGGCCTGGGAGGTCCAGGAACACCTGTCATGGTGCCAGGCGGTGGTGCCCTTTGTTCGTTTGTATTCAAACCCTCTGACCGCAGGAAGCCCCAGGGAGGGATGGGGGGAAGGCTGATGGCATTCATTCATTTATTTATTTCTTTATTTGGAGTACTGGAGATTAAACAGGGCCAACGCACTGAGCTCCATCCGTAGCCCTTTTTATACTTTTTGAGACAGGTTCAGGCTGGGTAGTCCTCCTGCCTCAGCTTCCCAGAGTGCTGGGATCACAGGCAAGCGTCACCATGCCAAAAGCTGGTGTTTTATGTTTACAGCTTTGTTGTTGTTTGTTTTGTTTTTTTGAGACCAGGTCTCGCTATGTAGTTCAGGCTGCCCTTGAACTCACTGTGTAGCCCAGGTTGGCCTCGAACTCACAGCGATCCTCCTGCCTCAGCCTCTCAAGTGCTAGAATTACAGCCGTGCACCACCACACCTGGCTCTTTACAGCTTTTTTTGAGATATGATTCACATTTCATGCAGTCCACCTGCTTAAAACAATTCAAGTGGGGCACGGTGGGACACGACTGTCATTCCAGCACTTGGGAGGCTGAGGCAGGAGGATCTCTGTGAGTTCAAGGCCAGCCTGGGCTACATAGTGAGACCTGTCTTAAAAAAAAAAAAAAGCATGTAATTCAGTAGTTTTTTGTGTACAGGTTTCTAATCCCTAATCTAAAAAACTCGGAAACCATTTAAGCTTTAACAAGATGCCACAAGTGGAGGATTCCACATCCGATCTTGTTATAGTCAAAACTCAGGTGCGGGCCAGGGATTTAGCTCAGTGGTTCTGTTGCCTGCTTCGCAAGCGCAAGGACCCGATCCCCAGTACCAAAAAACCCCCAAAATTAAGGTGCACTAGAAGCATCCTATAAAATTACCTTCGGACTGGGCACCTGTAATCTCAGCTACTTGAGAGGCTGAGGCAGGAGGATGGAAAGTTCGAGGCC